AACAAGCCCTCCTCCAAGGTGGGTACATTTAAAGGAAAACACCAGGAGGTCATTTTACCCTTAAATCAGTTGCCACCTCCTAAGAAAATTTACTTTGTTTCTCTATTTTTTTCACCTTAGGAATACATAGATAATAAATTAATTAAGACTATCAAATGATTACAATCTCACCTCTTTATTTTATTTTATCTTATTTCTATTTTAATAACCGTGTTCTTTCAGCTCAATGTATGGTAGTTTTCCTGTCAAGTCCTGGTATATAGAAATAAATAAATGACATTTTACATATGGTGTGAGTGTGTTTACTAGATGAACAAGTTAATAAATTAGAGCTCAAGTTGGAGTGCGTAGGTTGGTCCCATTACTGTTAACTCAGGTGAAGACTTTGGGAGCCTAGGGTGAAGGTACTGATACAGGCCCCCTCATTCTTTCTGAGGTGTGACAATGTGGGAATAATTATAGATCTTTTGGGTTAAGCGCGGATTAGCTGAGTTGTTTCCTCTCCATGCGAGCACAAGGATAGGAGGGAGTTCTCACCAATTTTCAGGCTAGTCCAGGTCAGGATGCTGACTGAGTAGAGAGAGCCCTTCCTCAGGAAAGAGAATGGACTGGCACCCTTGCCATGATCACCTCGCAGGTGCCCCAAGCCAGTTCTTGAGGAAGGGGCCCAGGGGACACCCCCCTCAGTCCGCCCCGGAGGCAGCGAGGCCCGCTGGAACCGTCTGCTCGTCCATTGTCCTAGAGAGTGAGCTCGGGGAGCTGTGCTGGAGTGAGGGAGACATCGAGACACCTTGTCAGTTCAAAGCATTTTAGGGTCGTTTGAAATCCTCTCCACGTCAACGTAAGCAGCCTCTGTATTTGAGCAGCTGCTTTGAACAGTGAAAGGGAATGAGCTGAATCGAAACCTGGAGGTGTCTCCGAGACCCCTTCAACGTGCTCTTGTGCGGGTGGAAACGGCAGGCAGACGTGCGGACTCTGCTCCTGCCTGGTCAGACGCAGAGAAAGGCGCGGACGACGGGGCGGGGAGAGCAGCGAGAGGCCCCCATCTGGAGGTAAAACCTCCGGGAGCCCAGGTCTCCGGAGCCCCAGGGAGAAGCGGTGCAGAGCGGCAGGCAGGAAGCCGAGGCTCCTCCGAACCCCGCGTTCGCGCCAACCGGGCCTGGGACAACTGGCGGGGAGGCAGGGGCGGCGTGTGTGCCGGGGGAGGTGGCACCTAGAGCCACCGAGCGCGCCTCTCCGCGATTGGCCGGGCTCCGGGGGCGGGGGTGGGAAGAGGAGACTGAGGCCCAGGGGTAGGGCATTGCTTTGTGTACTCCCGAGGATTTATTGGGTGTGTTAATCTCGTACAACTACCAGAGCTTACCCGGTTGGGAACGTTTGGGCTCCGTCACCTGCAAGTAAAATGAGGCGGGGCGGGGGTGGAGTGGCGTGGAGACCCGAGACGTCAACACGGGATGGATCTTGGAGCAGTAACGGCCAGTGGAGTCCGTGGCAGACAGAAGTTTTGACGCACACGTGCAGCTTATTCTTGCCCACCCCCACCAACACAAATCGGCGCCCTAAACCCGAGTTGGGGGCGGGGGAGGTAGAAGCAGAGGAGGGTGGGGGAGACTTTTAAACCGACTCCAAGCCCCGCTGCCTCGGTTCCCTCAGACATGCGTCTAGAAACCTTTTTCTTCGCTCGAGTGTATCACCCCGCTGGCTGCAAAGGGACTTGTCCCTAGAGAACTGTGAAATCAAATCCAGAGAAAAGCAGACACCTGCCTCGGGGCGGGGAGGGGAGGGAGCTGCGGAGCGCCCGGACGCGGCCCTTCTCGGCGGCTGCACTCTTCCATCT